CATCAGCTGGTCTGGATTGATACCTCTGGTGGCGACATCTGCCGGGTTATCGGTCTAGTTGACATGGCGCCATTTTTTCACTGGGACTCGGATCTGTATAGCAGCTACTCGGTATGCGACGAATGGTTTCCAGAGTGACGCATGTCCGCGAATCCAGGTTAGGACCACGCTGGAGTCAGTCCACGCCGTGATCGAGGCAGGTAAGTTCAGCCCATCCTTGACCTGCACCAAAAGTTTGGGCAGGAGCACGACCTCACACAATTCGAGCCGTGGAATGCTGACCGTTCTGACGGGGGCCACCTTGGTTTTAGCGACCAGCAACGAGGTAGTGGCAACTGCCTGTTTAAGGACCCTGAGGAATACGACCGCGGTGTAAGCGCGCTGGGACGCATCACAGAAGCCGTGAAGTTCGAGGCAGTCCCCTGGAGAGTAGTGCATCCAGCGAGGCACCACTACACGATGTAGATCTGGAAGTGAGTGGCGAAAACTCGACCAGGTATGTTGAATGTCGCGGGGGATCATCATCCCAACCTACGCCGAGAATTCACAGATCCTGCATCAGAATTTTTGCAAAGATTAGAACCGATGTAGTCCATTCTAACGGATCAAAGAAGCTGGCCACGTCGGAAAGGATTGACCGTTTCGAAGGTTTTCGGGCGCCACCCTCTGACCCGACCACTCGAAGAGATAGGGTATCGTCGTGTGGACTCCATCGTATTCCCAAGGTGTTGAGACTGTCTGAATGTTGAAACAGATGAGAACCGCTGGCTTCAGGATCTTGAAGCATATGAAAATTCGAAGCCCATTTGCTCAAATCAAAGGCTCCTGATTTGAGAATACCGATCACTTGGCGCTGAAGCTCTCGAGCCTGGTGAATATCATCAGCCCCAGCCAGGATATCGTCCACGTAGCGATGGAGTCGCAACGTACTAGCACCGAGTGGGAATCGATGTTCTTCATCGTCGGCGAGTTGATTCATCACCCGAAGTGCCAGGAAAGGGGCGGACGCTGTTCCGTAGGTGACGGTGGTCACGGTGAAATCCTGTATTGGGTCGTCTGGTTTTGCACGCCAATGGATTCGCTGCCACGGTGCGTCAGACGGATGGATTCGAATCTGCCGATACATCTTGACTATATCAGTGGTGAAGACAATCCTGAACAATCGCCAGCGAGTAAGGACCATCCATAAATTGGCCTGCAGCTTCGGGCCGATGAGGAGACAGTCATTGAGTGATGCTCCCGAAGTGCTCGGAAAGGAAGCGTTGAACACCACTCGCAGCTCCGCATTAGGGTCGTGGCGTTTCATCACAGCATGGTGAGGAATGTAATATTCAACCTCTTTAGACGTGGCCTGGACTGCGGCTTCCATGTGCTGTAACAACAAGTATTCAGACATAAATTTTGAATATTCTTCCTTTAGCGAGGTGTTCGAAGCGAGTCGGCGTTCGCAATTGAGAAATAGTTTGAACGCCAAGGATCGAGATTACCCCAGGACAACAACAGGGTCCTACCAAAACGGTAGTCGGACGATGTAATGTCCTGATTGGTCCCGTTCGTGAGTTTCTCGAAAGTGTCGCTCTGCTTGTTCATCATCGGCGGATAGGGGTGCTGTTTCGTGGACCTTCTCCAATTCCTAGAACTGTTGAAGAAGTCGATGCGTGCTGTCTTCAACCTGGCAGTGATAAGAGCAGGTGACGCGTCCTGGGGATGCAGGTTTTTTTGCCGTTGGCCCTATCACCACCCAGCCGAGCGGTGTAGATTGAGCGGTAGGCGTTCCCGGAGGTCCAGCTCGGGATTCGCCCAGGAAGAAGTCCCCACAGATATCTGCGCCAAGAATAAGGTCAACACGATCAGGCACGCCAAAGTTAGGGTCGGCCAGTGTGATGCCGTCCAAATGTCGCCAAAGTGTCGAGGAAACCTGTCGGGCTGGCAAAAATGAGGTTAGTTTTTTCAGTACTAAAGCTCGGAATGGCAATTGGAAATTCGACGAGCATCTTGATCGTAGTACTAGATCTACCACACCCGTGGCCACTCCACTTTCGTGCGCTTGCACGCCGGAAATGGACACCCTTACCGGGCGCCGTAAAAGATGCAAAGACTGAGCTACCCACTCAGTCACCAGAGATGCATTGGAGCCAGTGTCGAGGAGGGCTTCAATGGTTTGCCCAGTAGGCGCCTCCAGTCGTACACGGGCGGTGGCGAGAAGTACCGGCGTCCTGGCTCTCACCGTCGCGGAGAGCGCGGTGGCAGCGGATTGAATTTCTTCCGAGGAAGTACTGGCAAAGTTCAACGTGAAGTGCGCTGGTCCGACACTCGACACTGGGGCTGTAGTCTCCCCATGGCTGACATCGTGCAGGAGCGTATGGTGATGTCTGCTGCACACTAGGCAAACATGTTTAAATGGGCACTAACGCAGATCGTGACCAGCACCCAAACAGTTGAAGCAAACTCGAAGCGTGATAGCGCGTTCCTTCCGTTTCAAATGAGTAAGTGCTTTGAACTTCGAGCAGTACCCTAGGTGATGGTTTCCAGAACACGAGGGGCACTTCCTATTTTCCTTCGGCTTCGCCGTGGCAGCCAGAACCACTGTGCTCCATTTACAGGTGGTGCCCTCCCTGAATTTCTACCGGGATGAGTCCTTTGAAGCAGAAGTTCGAAGCGCAGGATCTCGATGCGAAGCCGTACTCAGAGCCTGGATACGGTTTTCTAAAAACGAAGACAACTGTTTAAACGATGGAATTTCTCTGCAGTTGACTAAAGAAGTTTCCCAAGCGAGATGAGTGGTATTGTCCAGCTTTTGACTCAGCAGATACACAAACCACTCGTTCCAGACAGCGATCGGTTTTTTGAGCGCTGAATACGCTCGAATTGATTGCCGAAAGTTATCTAGGAGGCGCTTCAGTTCGGCGGGAGACTGGTGTTGAGCAGGCGGACACGTGAGAAGAGCACGATGATGGGCGAACGAGAGAAGCCGAGTATTTCCATAACGGATTTCCAAGTCCTCCAAAGCGCCGCGATAACCAGCTTCCGTTAAAGGAGTGTTTTGCAAAAGTTCTGCAGCTCCACCTGTTAAACAGATCTTTAAGTAAGTTAACTTTTTTACTTCTGACAACTGGGAAACGTCATGGACTAGGCTTTTGAACAAATCCCGAAAACTCTCCCAGTGGAGCGGATCGGCGGAGAAAGTTGGCAGACCGATCTTTGGAAGCTGGGGTGTCGGTTCCACCCCCATCCCTTGGTGTTTGGGATTAACGGTTGACCGGTCCTCCAGGGTCTGGCTGATCATGGGCGCGGCGTTAAAATAGTAGTCCCACACTGTGGCGAAGACATCCTGCTGAACGTAGTTGCGGCTGTCTCTTTGCAGCGTATGATCCTACGGTGACCAGCAAAGAACCCTTCTCAGTATTTCTCCAAAAGAGTTTTCCGTTGTTCGAGGACTGCCCTTGTCATCTTCCTTTTCCCAAGCTTGCAGATATTGGGCCAAAAATGTTGAATCAGTCCCGCTAGTTCCTCCTGATCGCAAAGGAGATCGGCAAAGGATTCTGCGTGCAGCATGATAACGGTGAGTCGAAGAACTTTTAAAACGAAAGTTTCGTTATGTCAGTGCACAGCAGAACAGTCACAGGGATTTTAAAATTCTGTTTTTCTATTTACAGGAACAGCTGATCAACAGAATTCACGGGCGAGCGTATGTAAAACACAAGTCAAGTTCAGAGTGTCGACAATTGTAAACAAGCGACGCGAACGGTCTCGACTGCGTGGAGAGAAATAAAAAAAACAAGTTTTCGAGCACGTTCCGCGAAGTAACCGTTTTACTGAAAATTCATATAACGAAACAAAAGTCCACTTAACTTGCAATCGATGCTTCTTTCCTTCCCTTTTCACGGCGTGAAAAACCAGCAAGAGTTCGGTGCAATGTGGAGCAGCAGTTTCTATCACGATGGGACGATGCACAGTTTTTCTCTGTTCCCTTTCTTCAGATTAGAAGCCAGATCACTCGAGGTTCGAGCACCGCTTTTAATGTATCCGGCTCGAAGGACGAAATGTTCGAGACAAAATCGCCTTTAATTGAGGTGGAGTTTGGGACGAGGAACCAGTGAAAAGGAACAGAACACGCGTTCCTGGAGCGTGATTTAACGGCACATCAAAGTATATTTTACAACCGTCGATAATACATAAATTACGGAAAAACTGTATTTACCAGAGAAACATATACACTATAATATATTATTTAAACCAAAGCGAAAGCGTCTTAATTTGTCCGAGGCGTCACATTCGGAGCAAACCGATTAAATTCGAAGCGCACGTGGTTCGAACAAGGAAAAAGCGAAAAAAGCGGAACCAATCAAAGCGCGCGTGCTGTTTGTTAGCGTGGTAGACAAACGACTAATTAGTCGGGCGCTCGCGCGGAGATTCCCGATTCCGGGAATCTTCTAGAAATTGCTTTGTTCGGTGTCGCCCGTCTCTCTCCTGGTCCCTCCGGCGCTCCGCTGGCCATCGGAGCGACGGAGAGTGACAGCGTCGGAAAGAGATAGTGCAAGTACCGAACGTTCTAGCAAAAAAAAACTCACCGGTGATTAAAGTGCGAGCGCCCGATATGTTCCAAGACATATGTTTAACTTGATATATCGAGCGTTCGAGCAGCTGCAATTGACGCGCGAATAGTCGCTTTAAAGGCTGCTCGAACAAAAACATTTTTTCAAAAATAAATTATTTAAATAAATAAATAAACAATTTTTTCTACCATGGGGAAAATACCTATTCAAAGACGCATCAATTAAAAACAAAATTTTGTCCTACCTCCTCTAGTTTTTGAGATATTTAAAAAAACGTGGTTTTCACCAACCACTTTAGTAGCTGTTTCACCCCTCCAATATCGACGATTGCCGTTAAAAGAAATACCTGTCGAATAGTTTTTTTTTAAGTACCTACCACATAAATTTCATCAAACTCGGCGTGTACCCATTGGATATGTTCCCTTGTCAGGACAGGTTATGATACCCTGCAGATTCAACAACATTAAAACAACAGTCAATTTCTTCATCGCTACAAATTTTGTACAGATGTTACTCAAACTGTTAAATATTTAGACTGCATTTATGATGTTCACGGTAAAACACTTTTGGTGCTTTTTCTTCATCCAAATCTTTTTGCTAGCTACGCACCATATTTTTCTGACATTTGAAAATGTTGCTGCGTACTAGTGCGTCGTGCAAGGAGGTAATAAAAAAGGTGAGTTGGTTTTATATTTTTCAAAATTAGCTGAAATCAGTGAATAGAAAACAAGCTTAATTAAAAATTGCCTTTGTTTTTTTTGAAATTTATTTTTTAGTAGAATTTAGTACTTGTGGTTAAACAGTATCAATTATTTGCTCGTGTTTAAAGTCAAATGATTTTATAAACTCACCTCAATAAAATGATGTAAATTATAAACATTTAACTACGTTTGTATTATAGTGATGCAATCTCCAGATTTTCATCGTATTCATAGAGGTATGCCATTAAAACCACCAAATTTTAGAATATATGATTATTATTTAACGAATATAAAGTATAGAAATGAACATAAACTATATGTTCTTTATATGCAAAAATCAATTGATCCAGAATTAATCACATACATGTGTACATTAATGAATCTGAGACAAAACACTATCGATCAATAGCCTTGCGATCGATAGGTCAGTTTTGTTTTAGCGAAATTAAGAATAGGTAAAACGAAATCGATAATATAAACCCTGTTTTCCGTATATATACCAATATAAAGATTTTAAATTATGTTTCTTCGTTTTACATATCCTAGTGTATATGTATATTTGTTCTAGATGTTTCATCGGTATCTTTAAAATAATCATACATTTGCTCTATAAAGTCGTTCACAATTATTTGTTTTTTCAAGATCATCGTATGTTATTTTTTACATGCAACGCACGCCACGCGTAGCCAACGAACATTACAATATTGACGCGATTAATTATTTAGTATTTGTTGTACTCGAAGTGTCTCGTCTGTTCAGTGTACTTGGATTTGTATTTTTTTATTGATGGAGAAAATTGCAGGAAAGGCAGTAGGTAGCACAGTTTATTTGTGGAACAATTATAGCTACAACAAAGACAATCGTAGTGAGTGCATTTATCGTTGCGATACTAGACGAACTACACGATGTTGTGGGGCTGTAATGGATCTTGGTGATGAAACTATTAAGTTATTAAAACCGCATAATCATTCCGAGGTATTTCATAGAGGCGATTAGGAAAAAATGAAAAATGAAATGCGTCAAATGTGCCGAGAAGCATTAATACCACTGAAGCAAATTTTTTATGATATCTGTAGGAAGTATGTTTATGCTTATAATACATTTTGCATATCTTCTAGTCAATTTTTTTGTTTATGGTATATTATTCAAATGTCTACGTATAGATATCCAGATGCTCCAGCGTATAGATCTTTTAATAGATTAAGGTCAACCTTGCGAAAGATACGAGCGAGTAATAAACCAAAAATTCCACAAACATTAGAAATTTTGTACCAGGGGTTACAAAGTTACGAACCTCTACAAATTTTGTGAAAATTCATTTTGTAAAATCAAAAATATGTGAAACTGCAATAATACTTTCAACTGATGGTTTGTTGAAAAGTTTATCCAAAGCCAAGGAATTGTTCATTGATGGCACATTTGCAGTAAGTATAGTAAAAGTAATAAAATCTGTGTAAATAGTAGTAAATCATGTAATAATATTTGTTCGTACTTTTAGGTTTTACCCAAAGAACCTCAGACTGGACAGCTCTACACCATCCATATGCGCTACATGGATAATGTAAAAGCAATTATTTAATATACAGGGTGTACCAGTCTAACTGTTACAGAGCTGTAACTCCTAAACTATTGGCCGCATGCAAAATTTCAAATATGGAAATTCCATGGTAAAATATTTCCCATATTTGAAATTTTGCAAATGGTCGATAGTTTAGGAGTTACAGCTCTGTAACAGTTAGGCTGGGACACTCTGTATAACTGATATAAAGGGTGGGGCAATAACTATGTCCACTTTGAATATTGCCGTTATTTGTAATAATATGAAAAAACGTTATATACAAAACTAAAACGGTATAGGGGGGGCCCCTATGCCCCCCCGCATATTACGACATAAACATTTTCCACATGGGTGGAGGTATAAAGGAGATTTCAAGGTCATCTCTATTTTTTTTTAACGGAATGCTATGTTTTTTTTATCGCGATGTAATAGCCAGTGTTGAGACGACATCGGCAAGTTATCATTAAAAGTCATGCAAGGTCACATGTGATAGTAAAATAAACTTTCTTACATTAGAGGAGATGCTCGAAGTGGTGACCGTTCGCGTCAATGCAGAGTTGCAATCTTCGTATCGCTGCATCACGTGCATGTCTTATCGTTTCTGAACTTATTCTAGCACATGCTGTATTATTTCACAGACTCTCACTTTTACATAAACTAATAGTCTTATAACATTGTTTATGTCGTAGCAATACATCGCGTATAGCTAGAAATGCTGTTTATCAAGAAGTACCCACTACACCAGAAAATATGAAACAACGGATAATTGCAGCATGTGCTAAAATAAGTTCAGAAACGATAAGACATGCGCGTGATGCAGCCGTGCCGAGAGACACGCACACATGCAACACCTGGTGGCATGTCTGTGTGCCTACGAATAGGCTACGTGATGACGCGATACCTGAAAGTAAGGGTCTAGCGGCTAAAAGAAAAATTATTGTAAATATCATTGTAATCAGAAAAATGTTACAAGTGTAATATTGCAAGTCTCGCTTATTCGGCAGAATCTAGTCGATATTACCATAATTTTTCTTCTTTCCTATATCTGAATGTAATTTATGACTACAACAGGAGAAGGACAATACAAATAAAAATAAAGTTAATAATTTAAAAAATATCTTTTATTTATTACAATTTTTTTTCTAACTCCATTGAAAAACAGTTATTATTATATATGTTACCGCGAAGGCGGCGTAACATTTTATTCTGTAAAAAGTGAATGAAAATTTAAAAATAACATATTTGAGATTGTTCATGTAATTTAAATATATTTAGGATAACTTACAATTTTCTTCTCCAACTCTTCAATTCTCTTTTTATCCGGGTCCGGTGTCGGACCAGGTGTTGGCGTCGGGTTGGGAGCACGAGGCTGGACGCACGCTTTTCTGGCACTGGGGCAGTTGGTCGAGGTCACCATGCCTCTTCCACAAACCTCCAGGTCGGGTCAAAAACCACGACCTAGCTGATATTCCCTTACACCAGGGGGCGCTTCGGCGTCCTCCTGGGCGGAGAATTTCGGCGAAGTCGGCAGGCTGCGTTCGGTCAAGTCCACTCACCGCACCTCCTCGTGGTGCTCCTGGATCTCCGCTTCAGGAGCCGGCGCTCGCTTGTGAGAACCGACTTGCTGGATGCGGAGGGCGAACGCGGTGAGCTGACATCTGGCGGATCCTCTGTTGACGACATGGCAAGTTTGGAGGCATGGGTATGGCGCCCACCCGCAATGGGGTGCTTTGAAAATGACCATGGACAACCGAGGATTAAGCGTTTACGGTGCAGAGGGCGTCGGATCCCTCAGTACCGGCGCGGTGAGGAGTAGTCGACCAGGCTCCCCCGCGTCATTATCTTACGACTAGGAGAACCCCGAGGTGGACCACCAGACCCCCGGGTTCAGCAATGCGCCTGGTGAAGAGACGTCTGTAGCGGGGACCTACTCCGCTGCGGTGTCTTCCGGCGTCAGGGTGTGCGAAGACGCGCAGCCCGTCGTCCGGTTGGAGAGGGTGGAGGGGCGGGAGCTCCGCTCCGGCCGCCTCCTGGCGGCTGCAGACGCGTCCTGCACCGGCGCTGAGTCCGACGGGTCAGTCAGCTCGGTGTGATCGGCGCGCTCCCTGCAGTCGCCGCTAAGGAGAAAGCAAGGTCGATCCCCTACTGCTGGGGATTGTGTCGGGAGCGAGAAGGAGCAGCGCCTGGCGGTGGATGTCGTGGACCATTTAATGTCCTCCGTCCGAATCACCAGGTCCTGCAAGCCCCTCAAGGGCGAAGAGGAGCTGGCGGCGGAGATGCGCCACGCGCCGACCGCCGAACTGGGCTCTCGGGTTTTCGAGAGCTCGGAGGCGGTCCTAAGGGTTGCGAAATGCTCCAACAACCGCTCCAACAAAAGGGATCTGCCTCCTCGACGAGGCGTGCAAGCTCTTCGAGGGGCCTGTCCGACTGGAGTATGCAGTTGGCTGGCTGCGAATATGGTTTGCGCGAGGGCCGGTCGACGCTTGATGCGATCGACCACGTCCATGCCCTCGCGGACCGGGCGGTCTCCCAGGGTGGGGTGGCGTTGGTGATTAGTCTCGACATCGCCAACGCATTTAACACCCTACCCTGGGGCACGATCCGGGAGGCGCTCCAAAAACACGGAGTGCCTCCATATCTACGGGTCGTATTAGCCGACTACATGTCGAACAGGTGGACAGAGTACTCTGGCAGAGGCGGGGTGCCGATACGTCGGAGGGTCAGCCGAGGCGTGCCCCAGGGGTCCGTTTTAGGACCCCTGTTATGGAACTTGGGGTACGACTCGGTGTTGCGCGGGCTTCTCCCACCCGGTGTCTTTGCAGTCTGCTACGCAGACGACACATTGATCATCACGGTGGGTCGGGATGGGACCAGGTTCCACAGGCTGGCGAAATTAGCGGCCACGATCGTGGTCGCGAGGATCCAGGCTCTGGGGCTTCGAACATCGTCGCAAAAGACGGAGGTAGTCATGTTTCATGGGCTGCCTCTGACGCGGCGGGTTCCCCAGACCTGGATCCGCGTGGGTGATGCGGCTGTTCGGGTCGAGGGCCGGATGAAGTATCTGGGCCTCGAACTGGACGGCCGGTGGCGCTGGGAGGGGCATTTCGACCGCCTGGTCCCCCGAATTGAGGTGGTGACGACCCTGTTGGGTTGTCTCATGCCCAATCTCGGGCGGCCGGAAGAGAGGTTCCGCCGCCTCTACCTAGGGGTCTGCGATCCATGGCCCTATACGGGTCACCCGTATGGGCGCGCGACCTCGTGGCCTGCCGTCGTGTACGGCACCTGCTGCGCTGCGTGCAGCGGCATATGGCCATCAGGATCGCGCGCGGGTATCGCACGATCTCCTACGAGGCGGCGGCCGCCCTAGCGAGGGTCATCCCCTTTGATTTCCAGGCGGAGGCACACGCCGACGTGCATCGGCGTGTGCAAGATCTCCGCCGGAACGGGGGCGATCCGCAGGACGAGGCGGTCGAAGCCTACCGGCGCCAAAGGTGGCAGCTGGCCCGTAAAAAGTGGCGGCGCCAGCTCCTGGAGAGCGGCGCCGCCCGAAAGAGGACGGTAGCGGCGGTCCTGCCAAGCTTCGATGCTTGGCTAGACCGCCGACACGGGCGGCTCACCTACTGGCTCACGCAGGTGCTCACCGGACATGGTTGTTTCGGTGAGTACCTGCACAAGGTGAGGGCGGAGGAGTCGCCCAGGTGCCACCAGTGCGGAGCGGAGCTGGACTCCGCGCAGCACTTGCTGGAGGAGTGCTCGGCCTTCTCGCGAGAGAGGCGGGCACTCCGCCTAGCTATTAGAGGGGACCTTTTGCTCCCGGCCGTTGTTTCGGCCATGGTAGAGAGCGAGAGGTCCTAGAACGCGGTGTCCTCCTTCTGCGAGACTACTGTCTCGCGGACGAAGGATGACGAGCAGGATCGGGATCGCACCGATCCCGCTCGCATAGAGAGGAGGAGGTTGAGGCGGGCCAGGCGACAGCGGCTAGCTGCCGCCCCTGCCGCAGGGGGGACTGGTCTCCCCCCCCCCCCGTAAACCCTTAACTCCTTTTGGCAGTCTGCCGCGTAGGGCGGCCCGGCACATGTAGCCGGCGAGCTTAAGCTTTGGGCTCGCCGACTGCCAGCAGGGCCGCCGGGCATGGGGGAGGAGGTTCGTCACTTGATGGGGGGCCCCCCCCCCCCCCCCCCCCCCCGCCCCCGGGGCCGGGGGGCGGGGGGGGGGGGGGTCGCCAGTGGCCCCCCCCCCCCCCCCCCACTCCATTGGAACATGCCCGGTGCTTGCGCCGCGGGGGGCCGTTGGCCCCATAGCGGCATATTTTCCTGTGGGTCGGGGAGCAGAATACGCCCACAGTAATCCCCGCTTGTTGTAAGAGGCGACTAAAAGGGACAGGCGAGACCGCGGGCTGTGGCACCCGCGGTCAGGTGGGGAGGTATTCACTCCCCACCAGAGATAGCGCTCCTCCCTTCGTTGCGGGGGGAGAGGCGCATGGGGCACCGGTAGTGTTCGTAAAAGATCCCGGTGCCCCTCTCCAATGCGCCGTGGCCGGCCACCCACGTTTTAGTGGGTATTCCCCTTGATATCAAATCAAGGGGCGAGTCCTACACTGCCTTCTCCTTATGAGGGTGCGTACGCATTTCCTCACGTAAAAAAAAAAAAAAAAGGTGTTGGCGCCTGCGTCGGCGTCAGCGCAATATTGTTATTTTTGGATCCCATCTACATACAAAAATATGTATCATTAAAAAATTATTTAGAGATTAATTAGCTAGCGTTTTTCTCGTAAATGATTAATATTTAAAACCAGGAAAGAGGAGAAAGTGATAGTGTTTTTTTATAACCAACGTAACAATGTATATAAAAGTATAGCCGGATATGGGTGTCAAAAGTGCATTTAGATCGATTTCGATCTGCGGCCATGTATTCGATATGTTATCGAAAAAAACTAATGTGTACCAAGTTTCAAGAGCCTCTCTCGACGGGGAGGGAGGGGGGGGGGGGTAGCCGAGTAAACAAGAAAAAACAAAAATCATGTTTTTGACCAATTTCTCTCGTCCTATTACATACAAAATTTTGA